TAAGTACTCTACCTCATAAGCTCGTTTGAACAGATATTAAAGCTGAAACACAGAAGCATGGTTAAAAATCAAATGTTGCTTATAGATGCAAAAGCTTCCGAGGAACTTTTATAACGCATATTTTGAAGGGTCACGGCACACAAAAAAAGAATTTACCGACCCCAGTAAAATTTTCTGTAGCATATGATACAGATTTTTAGGAAAAATATTAAAAATCTACCGATGTGTTGTCATGACACAGTGCTGATAGCAGACACAGAAAGAATTCTACAAAAACTCCCACAAAAGGTAGTAAAGGAAAGCAAGAAGAAAGGACTAAACATCAATTGCAAGGAGACAAAATGCACGTCTTAGCAAAAGGGACAGCACAATATGCTAATTAAAAATTGGAGATAACAAAATCAAACAAATGCAAAAATTGAAATATCTGAAAATGTTTTAATGGAAAAGTGTGACATTGAAATCCGAAGGCGCGCTGGGATCGCGAAAATGCCTTCCAAATGCTAAGCAAAGTATTAAGAATCAAAAACAAATCGGTAGAAATAAAGAAAAGAATAATGGACGATTATGTAATATCGGTTTTCCTATATGGCAATGAATACTGAAGAATCTCCTCACAGATGAAGAAGAGACTTGAGGCAACAGAAATGTTGTTTCACAGAAGAATACTAAGAATACCATGGACTGAACATACGATCAAAGAGGAAGTTTTAGTGAAAACAGAAGCAAAAAGGACACATATTCATCAGGAAGAAACATTTGAAATTTCTAGGGCACATAATGAGGAAAGAGGACTTGGAAAATTTGATACTCACAGGATAAACAGAAGGCAGAGATGGATAGAGGAAAACAACGCATTACTTACCTACTGGGCTTGTGAAAATGGAAGGCAAAACAAGGTTTAGGTGAGAAAGAGAAATCTTACCAAGAACTACAAAGGACAAGACATTGTGGAAAACCTGATCTCCAACGTCCTGAAGGGGCAAAGCACATAGAGAAATAAGAAACTTGAATCAGCGCACAGCAAAGACATAGTATTTGCTATTTTAAAATGAAACAGACTTTTAACAAAAAAAACGCAAAAAAACAGAAAATATATATTTTATTTGAAGGGTTTATCAAAATAAACACGAACAGACTATTAGTATAATAAAATAATGTTTCGGTTTAGCTTACATTTTAGCGCCTCAAACATTTTTCCGATATCGAATACTGAAATTAATACTAATTTTTATGTAGGTTCATACTATGAGCACACACCTTGCTCATCTAAATAAATAGCAAATGAAATGTAATTCAATTTCTGATATAAAAGTTTTAGAATTTTATGTGCATAGCTACAGTCAACGTTCTTGCTATAAATTACTCGAACGTTGTACAATTGCGATGTTTTTCTGTCTGGAGATTAATACATAAATAGACTTTTTTTTTTGTAAAAGTGAAAAATACGAATACGCGGGCCTGTCAAAAGATAGTCTATATTCTTTTTTAATTACAAGAGTTTTTAAAGTAGAAGCACATAAGGAATACGAAAATGAACACAAGTGACACGCGATTCAAAATCTAGTTCTCGTCATAGTCTCCTTCCTTCACCGTCATGGTACAATTGTCTGTCAAAGAATAATTTCAGTCTTTCTTTAATTACAACACTTTCAATAGTAGAAGCACATAAGGAATACGAAAATGAGCACAAATGACTCACGGTACAAAATCTAGTTCTTGACATAGTCTCCTTCCTTCACTGTCATGGTACGATTGTCAGTCAAAGAATAATTTCAGTCTTTCTTTAATTACAACACTTTTAATAGTAAAAGCATACGAAGCATCCTAAAATGAATATTTAATGTCTCCTGATTCCAAATTTAGTTCTCAACATAGTACGACTGAAGGTACGAGTGTCAGTCAAAAAATAATGTATCGCTTTCTTTAATTACAACATTTTTAACTCGTGGTACGAAGGTCTGTCAAAAGGTAATGTCTGTTATTCTTTAAGTAAGAGATATAATAGTAGATGCAACAAGAGCATACCAAATTTAACATAAAAATTTCATCATTCAAAATCTAGTCTTCATAGTTTTTTCTATTCATTCTTTGTAGCCAGCCTTGTATACCCACTTCTCATTCTTAATTATTTTCTTAGCTATATTCGATTTGTCTCTTTCACCTCATTATTTGAAAATACCTGTCCTCTCTGAATGCATCTTTCATGATCCTAAACAGATGAAAGTCTGAGGGTGTCAGTTCAAAACTCCAGAAACCAATGAACAACGAACACTCTGTTGTATCATAGAAAGTGTTAACATTATAGTAACCTACTTTACATAAAACTTTCAGTAACCAAAACTAAACTGGGTGCACTATTACGGCTAACCTGAAAGCTTTCTTGCATTTTGCAATAGTCATTCATTTGTCAACATGAGTGCATCAGCCTGTTTGTTGCACGCTCCCCATACTTCGAACTGAGATCAGAGTATAGTATATGGCCTCCACCTCTGGCATATTTCTCTCTTCAGGCAGTTCACGTCCTGAAGAATGCCTGATCCCGAAGATTCCGACCCTGCTGTAGTACTTCCATCATTACAAAAAAGAGGGGGTCCTAGATACGTTCTGTCCTCATATTACATGTACGCACAGGAACATCCCACATACAAAACGACCTAGTGGGGCATTCGCCACTGTGGGTAAGCGAGTAAACACAGTCTGTTTGGTCTTATTTTCATTCAAATCGGCAACTGTGCCCCACCACCTCCAGCCCCGAGAACTGTCACTAAAATTAGTTTTTCCTTTCTTTCTAGAAATGCATTTACCTGTACTAACTCACTAACTTACTGTGCATACAACCTCTTCAGAGATATTCATTGATCTTTTGTGAATATTGGCAGCAATCCACTTTCCTAAAATAGAAATTCCTTGTCAGTTCATTACTTTCTACATGTGTCGATAGGGGCTGACATCTGAAAAAGGAATATTCTTTTTATTAATCATTTCCCCCCCAAACAAGGTAATAATGCCACTAAGACACAAGGGGTTACTGAGTGCGAGAGAATATAAAAAAATTATTGAAGAAAGAGGACAATAAAGAAAAGAAATTAAGAAGACTGAAGATAATGATTAACACTGAATTTAAATTTTTAAAGATCAAAGTTGACTGGAAAGCCAGAAGCAGGAAGAGAGTTTCACAAACGAGAAGTGGGGAAGAAGAAACTCTTAACACAGAACTTACGGTTACATTTAGCTATTTAAACTCTGACATATTGAGGACTTGCCGACAAGTGGGATTCTGATCATTATTTTGTTTTTATATAACAACTTAATTAATTTTGATTAATACTTTTAAAATTAAATTAATATATGAATTACTTTGTGACCGGCATTGGTAAGATTTCTTGATAACTGATAAGAAACTCTTTCTTTTTATGTGCCGTGTCCTTTCAGAACGTAGGCGATCATGGCTCTTCACTTCCCCCTACCCCTTGTAGCTCTCAATAAGTTTCATCCCTCTTCCGCCTGTCCCAGACCACGTTCTTTCATCTACTTGCTTAAGCTCGCAATGTATGTCATGCGTTGCTTTCCCTTGTCTCTCTTTCCCACTATTCGACCCGTGAGTATCAGATTCTCCAGGCCCTTCTTTCTCATTACGTGTCCCAGAAATTTCATCTGCCTCTTCCTGATGTTAAGTATAAGCTTCCTCCTTGTTTGCATCCTCTCCAAAACCACGATAACTTATTCAGTAACTTATTGACTGAGGGACAGATTGATTCAGTGATACAACAAACATGTTATAGATATTTAATGTTTTTATATGTCCTGACTTACTCTTCAAAGAAAAATGCTGACATCGTATGATAATGGCATGTCAGAAGTAATTGTATATAGTGACCGACTAACTACGTGACTGTAAGTGCTGCTTATCTTTTGCTAGAATGTAAGTCGAGTACTCAATCTCGAAGGAGGCAAGTTTCCCGGGAGGTTTATCCTCATTAGTCTAATGACCTTTTCTTGAAATCACGCCGTTTCTCTCTTTCTCAGCTTATCCCGATGACAAAAAAGAAAGACGTGCATTCCACCCATTGACAATTCTGATGAATTATTCTTTAGTATAGAATTCTGCCTGCGATCGTCTGAACTAAAAGATTACAAAACAACACTGAAAAAATAGAATGTAAAAAGTATGTGGAATACATATATATATGAAGGCCAAGGTTCAAGCTCTAGTATAAATAAAGATCTTGCATGCTGATTTTTTTAAGTATATCAAATGTATAGTATTACATACCATACCTGCCAGGTCAGTACTTAGATGGGGGACCGCTTGGGAACACCTGGTACTGTAAGCAGACCCCTACTACCGGAGTAAGCATCCAATTGGGCACCTCAAGGTGGTGTAATGTTTAGCAAGCTTGTCTAGCTAGAACATATACGACTGAGCAGTGAGTTCGATCCTCACTGGGTGCCCCCTACGTTCGGCCTTGTGCCACATCTAAGCTACGCTTGGGAAAACACTATATTGGGCACCTCGAGGTGGTGTAAAAGGATAGCAAGCTTGTCTCGCTAGAACAATTACGACTGAGTAGTAAGTTCGATCCTCACTCGGTGCTCCTTACTTTCGGCCTTGTGCCACATCCAATCTACACTTGGAAAATCACTATTACATACTATACGTGGAAATAGCACTTGGCAAAGTAAGAAATTTACAAATCCCCTATGAATAACCATAAGTAAGTCTCAAGAAAGAGCGGTGAACTCAAACAATTCAATACACCATGTATAAAAACAAAGAGTATCAATAAGAAGCCCTAGGCTCAAACAGATCCAACATATTCGGAAGAAAACTTCCAAAAATTGAAGCATAATTTGCATTACAAGGAATTGTAAGAAATTTATAATAATGTTAGAACCATAATATCATGGTTATTATATCAGATGCACTGATATGTCAAAAGCCCTGGAAAAGGTGACTCGTGTTGTTTGTGTACTACACCGCAAGGTAGGTGAAGTATTACGGACATATCAGGTTGAAACGCCGGCTCTCGTACGATCAGCGAAGTTAGGCAACATCGAGCCCGGGCAGTACTTAGATGGGTAACCACTTGATATATCAGGTAATTTAAGGTTAGATGTACGAGTAGTGCAATGGATAACGGCTCAGAATTGAATAATCACAGAGAAGAATTCCAATTTCAGCCGGGTTCGTTATATTCACCTACGCGCATATGTTCTTGGGAAATGGTATGAATCCATTTCTTCTCCCCCTCCAGCTATATATTAAATAGTTGCATTTGTATCAGTAAAATCAATATTTTCTTCAAAACATTCTTACAATCTAAAACTCTTTTCTGGCTTCAAATAACTCGCAAAAAATTGATATGCTGTAAAAATACAATTCAATCAATCAATCTAGCCTGGTGAATGCGGCAACTCGATGCACCATTGATTCCAAAAATCACCCCTGAACAATTGTACGTATCTATCCTTCTCTGTTTCGTTCCTGTCTTTGGCAATCCTAAAATGAAGATATAAATTTAAAAAATAAAACGATAAGCCAGATAACATCATCTTTTTTTTCTGTATGAATTTAAAACAACAATGTTTTTGTCTACGTTTAGGAACATTGACTGCATTTTTTCCACTTCAGTTAATCTTGTGTTCAACTTGCCATAAGGAAAACTTCAGTTTTCATGTGTTGTGTGTTGATGCTCTTCCAAACAGAACAAACCATTGACTGTTATATTGTTTTTCTGTCACCAATTATTCTGCCAGCGAATTCTGGATGATTATTCATTCGATACAATTCACTTGTATGTCGACGCAGTAGTTGTTGTATGTGATAGTATCAAAAAACTCATCTTTTTTTTCCTCTCAAAATAGCTCACAAATCTCTCCTGGTTCAGATAGGTGAAATTAAGGTTTCCGGTAAGCTAAGACTTCTACAGAAGCCTAAAGACCCAATCCTTGTATCTAGGATAATATTAAATGTAAATAGAGAGTTTTACTATGGTTGTTCATTAAAGAAATGTCCCGACAGGTTTCCAGTTGATGGAGAGATATAAAAATTAGCGAACTGATTGATTAATATTCTACCCAGTTACACAATTCTTATATAGTTTGATGCACTTGCAGAAATCGTTCTTGTAGATGTCTGCACTTTGCTACTGCAGTTAGGATATTAATCTGTGCGACTTCATGATAGAAGTGTCTGCCTTTAAAGTATAACACCACTGAAGCTGATCAGACGAAAGTCAAATGAAACCAGATCACGAGAATATGGAAGATAGGAAAATAATTTTGTAGTCACGGGAGAATGCTCCCATTTGCACGAAATGGGAGTTGTGTATTATTGTTTAATCTCTTTTCTACCTCATTTCCACACAGTTACACAATTCTCCGACAGTTTGGAGCACTTGCAGAGATCTTTCTTGTAGAATTTTGCAGGTTTGTACTGCATTCGGGATTGTGCATTATTAATCAGTGTGGCTTCATCTTGGAAGTAGTTTTTTCTCATCCTTATTTTTTTTTACTTCAGGGTGCACTTGTAGAATAACTAAACCTCTGGGTCACACTTAAAATTCTAATAAGGTTCTAATCTAATAGTAATGAAATTATAAAACATGACATTTTGATTTCGAATTCCTCCCAAAGATTAGTGGTACAGTATTCGTTTTGGCTGTTATTAAGTTGTTTCTATATGAATTATCTCCCCTAGCATTGACAGCGGATGAAAAACTCTCCCCTTGCAGATTGAATAAAGGGTTCAAGTAAAATTTTAACAACAAATTACAAACTACAATAGACACTGGAATAATGCTTGAAGGCAAAAGCACTGAATACTTACAGTGGGGTTGAATAAGTGATCGTACACATGAAAATATTTCATATTTTTATTTGTAACATATTAAATTAACAAAACGGAATATATCTACTGTATCAGATTGCATACTAAAAATGTATGCATATAAAACTAAATAATATTCCATCGTTAAGAAAATATAGCAATATTTAAATTTTTAGGGGTGTAAAAAATGATCGTACAGCAGAACAAAAACATGTTTTCTCCATTTAATATTTTGTAGCAAAGCAACCAATCTCTTCCCGTAGTCTTTAACAATTCGCATACTTTAGTAGGTATTTTATCACATTCTTCCTGAGTAATTGTCTTCACGTTTTTTATGTTTGTTGGACCTCTATCACGGATCTTATTTTTCAGAAATTGCCATAAATTCTCTATTGGATTCAAATCAGGTGACTGATTGGGCCATTGTAAGATGTTAACGTTACTAGCAAGCCAATTCTTCGTACTCTTAGCAGTATGCTTGGGATCATTGTCCTGCTGGAAGATCTAATCAGGAGGAAGCTCAAGATTCTCTACAGAAAGCGATAAATTTTCCCTTAGGATTTGTTGATATATTTCTGCATTCATTCTACCGTCTATAATTGCTAGTTTGCCAACACCTCGCAATGAAAAGCAGCCCCAAACCACGATACTACCCCCACCAAATTTGACAGTTGGTGTGGTGTTCTTGGGTGCGTATACTTCGTCGTCTTTCCTCCATACATGATTCAGGGAATTGCGACCGAACAACTCAATATTACTCTCATCTGTGCAAAGAACTCTTTTCCAATAAGAATTTTCCTTATCTTTATGCTCTGTCGCAAATTTCAACCTGGCATCTCTATACCGTTTCAGAAGGAGTGGAGTCTTTCTTGAGGAGCGCGACTTTATACTGTCTCTGCGTAGTTCATTACTAATCGTTTGCTTCGTTACGTTAACTCCTGACAAACTCAGATCATTCTGAAAGGTCTTGTCTGATGGCCATTGGGTTATTTTGGACCTGTCGCATCAGCTTTCTTCGTAATCTGGGAGAGATCTTCCTGGGAGCACCGGGTCTGCCTTTGTTTTCAACAGTATTAAGTCTTTTAAATCTTGCAATAAATGAACCAATTGTTGAAAAAGGTATGTTCGTGTCACTGGAGATGTTTCTGTAACTTTTTCCATTGTTCCATAGATAAATAATCAGCTCTTTTTGAGCACAAGTCATTTCCTTACGTCTAGCCATTATTAGAACCGTTATCAGTGAACAGTGACTGCAGAATGATCCAATTTTGAACTGAATGTTGCAATAGAGTTCCTGAGAATATTCTAGAACAGTTTAGAATCTTCTACTTTGGAGTACAACCAAAATCTACCGTATTATAATGCAAAAATTGATACTGTACGAACAATTTTTCCAATATTCGAAATATAAAAAAATTTCACAACTATCACTTATCGATGAATTTCTAATTTTAAATTGCAGATTCTGATTCTATGCCCCAAAATACACATATAACATTGTTATTCGAGGTTTTCATTTGCTATAAGTGAGAATAACAAGCATTTGTTTTCTGTACGATCACTTATTCAACTCCACTGTATATAACACTAGGTGAGGAGGAAAAGATTCCTAAAAAATCAATAAGATACAGTGAGAGATACACATAGGAATTAAATCTTATTTTCAACACAATTACATACCTGCATACATAACATTAAAACACACCCAATCTTTATTTTACTCAATAACAGATAGTATTTACAACCATACCATAAAGATACCACAATACAACACACGTAGTTTAAATCAAAGTGTCTATTGGTTAGAAAATACTATTAACATGTGAAATATAGGATCAATCAGAGAAAACAAAAAAAACCTTTTTTCTCAAGTGTACATTCTGGAAACGTTTTTAAATAAAACCCAAAATTTGACATTCATGAGCACATATGCAGCTACCTTCAAGCTATTCAAACATAAGATGCTACATAAATTCCTCCCGCCAGCCTATGCAGAAAGAAACATGTGACTTCTAAGGTGTCATCTTCAACAACAGCAGCGACGGTCAGTAAACCTCCACTGAAGATCAAAGGCTTTTCTCAACCTCAAAGACATCAACTCAACCAAAGACTATTTTTACTCCATTTTTACTCTTTTTAATTCATGTATATATCTTTGTAAATAGAAATTATTTATTTAACATTTATTTAACCATGTTTTCTTCATTTTTTATTATTGTTTGGAATTTGGACATTCAGATTTTTTATATACAAAAACTTGGACGACCAAATTTCCGAAATAAAAACACATAAAAAAAAAATAAAAACACGAATCTAGCATTTACAAAATATTTTCGTTATAGCAAGTGCTAAAGAGTTAACTGACCTTCAGAAAAAATAAAACAAAAAGAAACAAAACTTTACAAAATCCATTAATTATATTAAAAAAGATACTTCGTAGAAGTAAGAGTAGAAATAAAAAAAAAAAAAAAAAAAGACATTTCTATTATTTTCTCGATCTAGGTTTGAAGAGAAAGGAACAAAAACCAATCAGCTGTCTGTTCTATCAGGTCATCCCATAAGTTCTGCCCGAATTTTAACTTTTTGTTAAAATGAACTAAATTTAAAGAGTATTTTTTAAAAATATCTAATGGAGCTGAATATTATTTTTATGTTTAGATGCATTTAAACTGATCAAATTTTATTTCAGAGAACAATAAAATTAAATTTTGTTTGATTAAAAGCCTGCTAACACGGAAGTACCCAAGAATCATTTGAGACACATAATGCTTTATGAATTCAAGAAAGGAAACTCAGCAGCCGAAGCGGCTAGAAACATTCACTCAGTTTATGGAGAGGAATGTGTGAATGAAAGAACTTGCAGAAGATGGTTTGCAAAATTTAGAGGTGGAGGTTTCACCCTTGAAGATGAAGATCGAACCGGACGTCCCGTTGAGTTTGATGAAAAGCTTCTTGAAGCAGCTCTTGAAGAAAATCCTGCTTTATCAGTTGAGGAATTGGCAGTGGTTCTCAGTTCAAACCATACAATGTTCATCGTCATCTTCAACAACTTGGAAAAGTTCCTAAACTTGGAAAATGGGTGCCTCATGAATTGTCTGAAAACAACCTCAAATCCCGAGTTGACATCTGCTCTTCTCTCCATTCTCGCCAACTTGTTTCACCTTTTTTGGATAGACTTGTGACTGGCGACGAAAATGGATATTTTATCGAAATGTTAAGCGTCGTAGACAGTGGCTTGGTAAAAAGGAAGGACCCCAGCCACA